GAGAGAGAGAGAGAGAGAGATTGAGAGAGAGAGAAGGGAGAGAGATTTTTAAAGATTTAGCTCAAGCAATTGGGGCTCTGGCAAGTCCAAGATTCTAGCAGGCTGGCAGCTTAGGCAAAAGTTGATATTGCAGTCTTGAGTCTGAAATCTGTAGGGCAGGCCAACAACTGGAAATTTAGACAGGATTTCTATGTTACAATCTTGAGGCAGAATTTTTTCTCTTTCAGGAAACCTCAGAGTTTTTGCCCTTAAGGCCTTCAACATATTGGATAAGGCCCATCCACATTGTCAAGGGTAATCTCCTTTATTTAAAGTCAACCGATTGTAGATGTTAACCCTATCTATGAAATACCTTGACAGCAACATCTAGACTAGTATTAGACCAAACAACTGGGCATCATAGCCTGGCTAAGCTGACATATAAAATTAGCTATACTGTTGCCATCACTTGCTATTATATCATAAATTGCCATTTTGACCATAAAAAATATACTATCTCTCATATTCATTTTAGGGTTTATTCTCAGATATCAGTTATTGACTATAGCCAGGTAATGGCTGTGCTGGTTATTCCCCCACTTGCCCCCACCCCAACTCCTACCCCATTCATTCTCCACCCTCCTCTGCCCTGCTCTGTGCCCATGGACACCAACCTCTACATCATCCCCACCTGGGCTCCTTCACCTCTGGCTCGGCCAGTGAGAAGCACCACAGATCTGAGGGCAGGATAAGAGAGACTTCAAGACATGCAATCCCCACTCTTTGCTTCTTCAATTCTGAACTTCTGGCATTAGCTTCCTTTCCCCAAGGCTCCAGACCTCCTTGGGCTCCTGGACCACTGTTGCTCCTTTTGTGGATTGTGCCCACATCCCTTGAGGTGGTCAGCTCACTGCCTTGGCCCTGGCTCCTGTGTCATACTGGGAGAATGTTCTGACACCTAAGCAGAGAGAGGTAAGATGAAGTGACACTGCACTCATGGTTCCCACCTCTCCTACATTACAGGATGCAGAAACATCTCTATCCAACCTCCATCCATGCCTCCCTTTCAGGATTCCCACCTGTCATATGGTAGGAGAGATGTCCTTTCTCTTCTGACCCTGACCCCAGGGCTCTGAGTCCCAGCCTCTCCCCTTTCCTCTCTGGAGAAATTGTCCTTTCTCTTTCTTTTCTCTCTTTCTTGA